CGGGCCCCGCGGCGCGCGGCCGGGAGGAAGGTGACCTTCCCCACCGGGGCTACCGGCTACCGCGGGGCTCGCAGCGCCGCCGGCCCGGCGCTCCCGGGATACCGTACGAGACCTGCCCCCGCTCCCGGCCGTGCGCGGTGCCCCCGCGGCGCGGCCCCGCCGGACCCACCTGGGCACCCGTCGCGGCACCGGCGGCGGCGCCGCCGCCTCCCCCCGCGCTCGCCGGCTCCCGTCTCGGATCAGCTGGCGGAGTCATGACGCAGCCACCCACCGGCCCCGCCCTCGGCCAATCGCGGCGCGGACCCGCCCCCGCCTTGAAGGCCGCGCGCCGCCGCCAATGGCGGCGCGGCACGGCCCGCCACACAGCCAATGGGAGGCAGGAGCCCGCCCCCCACCCCGCCCGCCCCCGCCTTGGCGGCCGGCCCGTCCAACCGGGCGGCGGGCGGTTGCCTAGGGAACGGGCGGGGCGGCGCCGCGCCGCGGGGCACGCCGGGAGTCGTGGTTCGGCGCCGCGGGGCGCTCCCGGCGTGCCCCGCGTGCTGTGAGTTGGCATTTTCAAGCGGGTGAAGCGAGGGGACCCGTGGGGGCGGGGGCGGCTCTTAAAGGGCCAGGCCCTGCCGGGACAACCACCGTCCGCTCCCCGCCGACCCGGGCGCAGCCCCGGTCCCTGCTTGCGGTCGCCGCTGCCTGCTTCCCGCCCGCCTGGCTCTAGAGGCGGGGGCGGGACGCTAAGGGCGGCCCCCGTCGGCCGCCACCTCTTGACCCCCGCCAGGCGCCGGCGGCGCCTTTAAGAGCCCATGGCAGCGACACGGAGCGATTCCGAGAAGTTACCCCAACTTGGCGGCCAATCACAAGTGAAGCTTCCCCAGCGGGCACCAATGGGCGCGCGCGGGGGGCGGGGCCCGGGGAACTCAGCTGAACCCAACGACTTGGCAGCGCCGGGCGGGCGCGCGATGACTGGACAACTTCTTTAAAGGGGCCGCGCCCGCCCCGCGCCGACTGCCGGGGGGCCGGGGGCCGGCTGCGGGGCGAGGCGAGCGGGGCCGCGGCGGGGGGTGCTCTGCCCCGCCCCGGCCCGCCGCCTGCCCGGGCTCTGCCGCCCCGGCGGGAGGGAACGGGCGGGCGAGGGGTCTTGCCCCTTTAAGGACGTTTCCTGCCCTTCGCCCCAGTAACAGCTGATTGCAGCGGCGAGGAGGGGGCGGGGGGGCCAATGGGCTGGCTCCACATCCCGCCCACGTGACTCCCACGCGCCGCCGCCGCTGCATGCGGCGCTGCCGGCCCGGAGCCCCGGGCGCCCTCTTAAAGGGGCCGCGGCGGGGGCGGGACCGGGCCGGACCGGGGGGTTCCTTTCCCGGGAGGAGCCCCCCGGAGCGGCCGCTCCGGGCCCTGTTTCTCCCCTCCGCAGGGGCCGACCCGTCGTCTCGTCCTCCCGGCCCGGGCCCCGAGGCCTTCGCGCGGCCGAGGCAGCAGCCGCGTCTCCTCGAGGCCCGCTCCGAGGGCGGCCTGGCCTGGCCGGGCCCCCGAGCACCGCCGGGCGGGGACCCGCCTCGAGAGCGGGAGCCCCGCGCTGGCCTCGGCCTCCGCTCGCCACGGGGAGAGGCCTCGGCCCGCGCGGTGCTCGGGGGCCCTGGGCGCTCCCACACCTGAGGCCGGGGGGCCCCTCCTGCGACCGCCGAGCCTGGTCCCACTGAGCGGCGCCGCTCTCAGCCCCGCTGCCCCCCAACGAGCCTCGGGGCGGCCGCGGTGCCCGCCCCGTCCCCGCGGCCCCCCGCCGGGGCCGGGCACTCACCTGGCGCCGGGGTGCCCGCCGGGCGCCGCGACCCCCTTTAAGGGCGGCTGCCTCGTCAGCGCGGCCCGGCGCGCTCCAGCTGACAGCCCCGGGCGCCTTTGACGTCACCGTGACCTCAGCCGGCTGGTGGCGGCGCCGCGTCACGGCCGCGCGGGGGCCCCGGCGCCGCCGCCTGCCCATGTATAGGCACCGCGCCCCGCCGTTGCGTAACCGCCGCCGCCCGGACGCCGGGGCCCCCGCGATCCGCCCCCCCCAACACCCTCCCCCCCCCTGCACCGCGCGGGCTGCGGCCGCTGGAGGGAGCCCGGGGCCGCCCCGCGCGGG